CCCCCCCCCCCCACCCCGCCCTCTTCTCTAATCCATCTCCTGCTCATCCTTCAGGTCTCACATTCCTCTAAGGAAGTCACTCCAAAGCCACAGCACCCTGTTCAGGTTAAGCATCTCTTTGTGTTCAACTGTACCTCTTTATTCATCCCATCCAAGAACTTACTGTTTGCTTTGTAATTGATTCTTTGTCTCTCCCTCACAGGGCTGAAAGCTTCATGAGGTTAGAGTTCATTTTATCTTATTCATTGCTAAATACCCAATGCCTAGCAGGATACCTGGCCTTCAGTGGATACTTAGTAGATACATTCGGTATGAAAAATCAAGTTGGAGATGGCTTTTATAAATCGTAACTGTGTTATTTTTGAAAGTATAAAACTAGCAATTATATGGATCTATACCTCAGCATAGGAAAGCATTTGGATAGATAGCATTTGTCTCTTGTTGAAGAATGGGATTCTGGGAGTTCTTCATGTTCTTTTGCTTCTCTGTAGTTCTTAATTTTTTTTTTTATAATGCCTATAAGTTGCTTATGAAGTGGGAAAAAATAAAAATAACTCCAATCTGGGGCCCCTGGCTGGCTCAGTTGGTAGTTGGCTCAGTTGGCTCAGTTCTTGATCTCAGGGTCGTGAGTTCAAGCCCTGCATTGAACATGGATCCTATTTAAAAAAAAAAAAAAACTCTAATCTTTTGTAGGGGGCATTTGGAGCCCTCTAATTAAATTTATATTATGGGGCAGTTACATTCTGTTTTTCATTATTACCAGCAGCACAAAAAAAGTCTGTAGCTAAAAATTACTTAGAAATAAACTTAAAAAGGTATAGAAAAATCAGAATATCTAGATGAAAAAAAGAGCCAAAGTACTTCAAGATACATAAATGTGGTAAATTTACTCTTTGTAATGCACCAAAATTACTGTTAACTAAGGGAAGAGAAAACAGAGACTTAGGTTTTTGCTTTTGTTTGTTTGTTTCTTTGTTTTTTCTTTTTTTTAAGAAATTATCATGTTGACCAAATTGCTTTGAGCCCAAAGGTTAGGTACCAGGAAAAAATAGTGTCATAGAAGCTAAGGAAGAATGCTGACCAGTGTCAAGGGCTATAGAAAAACAAACAGAAAGATATAAATTTGTCTTATTATTATTCTTCCCATCCCAGGACCTGGTGTCAAAGATGCTTCATGTGGACCCTCATCAGAGACTGACGGCTGCCCTCGTGCTCAGGCATCCTTGGATTGTCCACTGGGACCAACTGCCGCAATACCAACTAAATAGACAGGACGCGCCCCATCTAGTCAAGGTGAGTGTCCCTATTCAGGCACTCTTTTCCACATGTTCTGCAGAAGACTTTGAGCCGCCCTCTCCATGCCCGCACCACCTTTCCCTTTCCCTCATCCTGTTTCCATTTCTCGGATGGAGTTCCCTTATAGTGAGTGCTTTAGAAAAGAAAAAGTCGCGGTGCCTGGGTGGCTCAGTCGGTTGAGCGTCCGACTTCAGCTCAGGTCACAATCTCATGGTTTGTGAATTCGAGCCCCTCGTCGGGCTCTGTGCTGACAGCTCAGAGCCTGGAGCCTGTTTTGGATTCTGTGTCTCCTCCTCTCTCTGCCCCTCCCCTGCTCATGCTCTGTCTCTCTGTCTCTCAATAATAAATAAACGTTAAAAAAGAAAAGGAAAAGTCAAGACACACCAAAATATCACAATAAAACTGGTTTAAGGGGAGCCTGGGTGGCACAGTCGGTGAGTTCGAGCCCCACATCAGGCTCTGTGCTGACAGC